CAGCTGAACGTCCCCAAAAGAAGCTGATAAGGTCAACAGTGGGCATTTCTTAATCAGTCATGGCTCCAGATTCTTTAAAATACAAATGCCTAGATTTTTCCTGGCAAAATAAAGGTTTGTTTCATGAGTGAACAGCCACATTAATAAGGGGAGAAAAATTATTTTGCCCTTTTCTCTGTTTTGTTCTTCCTGTCACTCCTTCTCCCGTTAAGGTTAATTCTATGTCTGAGAAGAGCATATGTTTTCATTACCTGGTAAAAATGTCTGAATTTTTATATTTCTTAGCATACTTTATTTGCTTTTGTCATAATACATCCAGAAATAAAGGAAATTGCAGAAGTTTTTGTTTTGTGTTTTTTGTTTTGATGGCTCATGAGCCCTCATTTGTTTCGAGGTACCCCTGGTTTTTTTAAAGAAGCACCACCCTGCTCCCTGTTGGACCAGAAACCTGAGGAAATCCTTCCACAGCACCAGTTCCTGATTAGCAAGTTCACTAATTATAATATATCAAATGAAATTAATTCACTCATCAAACATCTATCGATTGTCTACCATATGCTGCAGATAAAGAAATAAATAAGCCCAGATCCCTACCCTCAAGGAACTCAGGTCAAGTAGAAGTGAAAGAACACCAGTGATTATAAGATACTGTGGGTAAGGATAGCAATGGAGGTTCACATGGTCTAAAACTTTGGGCTGCAGCTAATTTATTAGTTAGGAGTAGATTCAATGGAAGAAAACCCAGCCAACACTCACCTGAACAAAAAGGAGTTTATTTGTCTCATAAAAGGGCTGGAACAGGAGCTCATGATGCCATCAGGGACCCAGTCTCATCTGTCTTTCCCTCTGCCATCCTTAACTTGGAGGCATTCGCCTTCAAGGCAAAGATGGGGGCAGAACAAAGGGCAAAATGAGGCCTGCTGCTAGTCCATGCTGTCCTTTTTATCAGGAAAGTGTTGAGGAGGCAAAATTTTATTTTGCCCTTCAAGGCTCTTATTGCTGGTCTAAGAATCAAATTGGCAGACAGATTAATAGGAGAAAAAAAACAAAGTTTTAATTAGGTATGCATGGAGGCCCAATAATGAAATTGAGACTCAAAGAAATGACCAAGGCAGGCATTTTCTAATACTTTTTAGGCAAAAAGACGATAAATCTGTGAGGAATTGACAGGACAGAGAAAACTCATGTTTGGGAGCTTCAGTTAGTATGGAATTCTAAACAGAATTTAGACTGTGGTAGTTAATTAGTAAAAGTACCAGCCTTCTTGGCTCTGAACTTCCTATCTCAGGAGGTAAGGATGTCTCTTTATCTCATGGTACAGGGAGATTTATTTCCTGCTTTCTGGTGACAGAGGTGGGGGTGGGGTGGGATCAGAGTGTTCTTGCATTGGCTGTTTCTTAAGTAACTTTTAATTCAAAATAATCAATATGCCAAAGTGGCACATTTTGCAGTGGCCTGTTCCTGGTCCCTACAAAAGCAAAAGCAAAACAAAACAAAACAAAAAAACCCAAAACTTTTCCAGAGGCCCTAGCACATATATGTTCTCTTCTCATCCATCAGAGCTACACCGCAGGTCCACCCCTTGCTGGAAGGGGGCTAATGAGAAGGGGGCTTGGAATAAGAATTAGGCTAGCCAATTCACAGTACGGAACACACTAATGCATTTCAGAACTCTCCATTGTTCTTTCTCGACCACTCAAGCAACCACTCTTCTCTAGTTCATCTGAACACTGGTAGGGAAAGACTAGCAGATGATCCCCAAATATGCCTATGGTTATTGCTATTCCAAAACATTTCCCTGGAGTAAGATGATGATAAAGGAAGTTCATCTTTTTGAGAAGACATTTAGTCTTTCAGAGTTGAACTGGAAATTTAAAGAAGAGTCACTGTGTCTCCTTAAGTACGTTTACCCTTCCGCTCTTTGGAGCTCAGTATCTGTTTTAGACTACAGGGGACTCAGCAGCCCCAACTCCATTTTCAGTTGAGGTGACTGAAACTTCACCCTTTCACTGGTATCCCCATCATCTCTTTACAAGAGAACCGAATGTTCCCTCCCAAGGGGATCCTCTTTCCCAGCTTCCTGGGAATGCCAGGCACTCCAAATATTCCCTAACCTACTGTCAAATAAGGGAATGGCATTCATTAGGCACTCATTATGTGCCAGGCACTGTATTAAGTTCCTTTAATCCTTCAACTACCATCTTATGAGAAGTATTAAGGTACATAAAAATTAAGTCCCTTGTCCAAGGTCAAAAGGAGAGTTAGTAGTAGAGTGGGAATTCAAACCCAGGCAATCTGCTTCTCAGTGGGCACTGGGCAGGGGCATGTCTCTTCATCTATATTGCATTCTTAATCTACATTATGCCTTAGAGAAAATTATGTTTTTGGGAACTCTTCAGATACAGACAGTAGGACCTTGTAACCAGCTCTAAGTCACCTTAGAAAGATACATGGTTAGCACTAATAATTCAGGAATGTAAGAAAGTTTAAGATTTTAATTGTTCATTCATTTATTCAATAAATATTTATTGAACCCTTGATATATATGCTAGGTACTATTCCTGGGTTGAAGATTCAACTATGAGCAAGACAGCATCGTCCCTCCCCTAAGAATTTACACTCTCTAGAGAAGACAAGCAAATAAATGAAATTTGATGAGTGATAGGAAAAATTCAAGGTGCTATAAAAGTACATTACGGGTATGGTTCCTATTTGGGGGATGGAGGAGGGGAACTGTCACTTCTAGGAGGAAGTGACATTTAAGCCCTCTGAAGGGTTGAAGTTAGCCAGACAAAGAACTTGATGGGAAAGAGTGTTCCAGGTAGAGGGTGTGTGTGTGTGTGTGTGTGTGTTGGCGTACATCTAGAGTCACAGAAACCTGACTTATTGGAAAATTAGAATGAATCACAAAATCCCTAGGGCAAAAGTTCAAGGAAAAGACAGGAGTGGGCAGAAGTCGAGTCATGAAGAGCTCTATAACCTTCAAAACCAACTTAAGTTCAAGTATTTTATTTATGGATTTAGTTTTTTACAGTTAGAATCACGATGTTACCAGCAAAGAAACCATAATACAGCTAGCGTCATTTTTGTTCCAAATTAGCTTGTTAACTTCATGGTACATTGAACCTTTAAAAATGAGATTTTTTTCCTCATTAAGTTTAAGATGTTTGGAAATGAATTGTTTAACATTTGAAAACATTTCTTATGCATTATGATAAAGGAAATAGGTATCTATGTGTTTGTGTTATCTGACAACACATTTTGATTTTAGTTCTTCTTGTTTCATGATTCCTGATGAAAGACATATGCTTTAGCTCTTCCAGTGTATTCAGAGGCCACTTTTAAGGATGACTTTCACAAAACAGATTAAAAGTTCTTCCCAGAGTATAGGATTTTTAGCATTAGCTTCAGGGAGATAACCAAGATCGGGCACATTCTCTTTACCTTTTCTCCTTGTCCCTTGTCTGGCCCTGAGGCATCTGTGCCAATTGTGAGAGTTGTGTTGGAGACCAGTGAGCAAGTGATTCCTGGATCTTCTAAATCCTAGATTTAGAATGTAAGAAATCCCAGTACTACACAGGTGGAGTGAAGAGATGGGTAAGGAGGCAGAGCTGCCTTTGTGAGAAACCAAGAGAAAAGGAGATATGAGTTGTTTGGTATTGGCTCTTTAGGAAGTGAGGTGAATATGGTGCCCAATCCTGGGGAGTGTGACCCCTGTGCAGCCAGGTGAAATGGCCCCAACTCAGGTAACCAGGGGCTTAGGACTCTCTATGCACAGGCCAACTAAAGAGTATCACAATTCTAAGGGATTGATTCATTCAGCAAATATGCCATGGGAACACAGCAGTGGATAAAACAGACCTGTGTTCATGAAGCTTATAGTCTACTGATAGAATTCAGTAATATTTAAAAAATAATAGTTAATGACTAAATTGGGTATATTCCAAAAATGCAATTTTGAATTTTGGTCTTACATGGAAAAAAAAAATCAATCAATGTAATTCAACACATTAACAGAATGAAAGAGAAAAATCACATGTCATCTTAATAGTTGCAGAAAAAACATTTGGAAAATTCAATATCCATTCATAACTTTAAAAAGCAAACACTATAAGGACTAAAAGGGACCTTTCTTAACCTAATAAAGGATATTTACAAAACAACCTTTGATGAGTGTCATACTTAATGGTAGAATGTTGAAAGTTTTTTTTTTTTGAGCTTCATAGCAAGACAAGTATTTTATTACCACTTTTATTCAACATACACCATTGAAGAACCTGAAGGTTCTAGCCAGTGCATTTTGAAAAGAAAAAATTAAAAATTGCATAATTATTGGAAATGAAGAACTAAAACATCATTATTCGCAGATGATATGATTATGTAAGTAGAAATTAAAAAGAACGCACAGCTAAAATGAAAGAATTAATAAGTGAGTTAAGCAAAGTTACTAGAAACAATATTTTAAAATCAATTTAAATTTCTGTATACAAGCCAGAAAACAATCAAATCAATATCATTTAAAATAACTTCAAAAAATCAAATTAACTTCAAAAATATTAAATATCAAAGAATACATCAAACAAAGGGTAGATATGTAAGACCTCAATGCAAAAGCTATAAAACATTAAAAACATTATTAATAAAAATAAATAAAATAAAAATAAAATGATATCTAAATAATTGATGAGAAATACCATATTCATGGATTAGAGGAATCAGAACTGTAAAGAATAATCCTCCCCAGATGGATCAATATACTTAATGCAAACTCCCTCTGATTGATTTTTTTTTTAATGAAACTTGACAAGCTGATTTTAAATTTAGTTAGAAATCTAAGGATCAAGAATAGTCAAGACAATTTTTTTTTAAATCCAGCAGAGCTGGATTTCTGATGAGCAAGACTATGAAGTTCTACTTGTTGACATTGGCACAAGTTAAGAGAATGGTGCAGGAGAGAAAAATAGAACAATGAAATAGGAAGAGTCAAAAGAGATAACCAGGGATTGAGGTAAGATGGCGGGCTCGCGGTGAGCGGCTGTCAGGGATGAAAATAGGTATACCTGGAAGAAGATTTTAAAATCAGTTTCTCTTCTAATCATCTTCTTTCACACCACCTAATAAGCATCTTGATTCACCATGGCGTTAGCAGCAGTGAAATGGGCGATATCAAACAGAACTATCTGGAAACATTTATTTCCAATTCAAAATGGAGCTTTATATTGTGTTTGTCATAAATCTACGTATTCTTCTCTACCAGATGACTATAATTGCAAAGTAGAGCTTGCTTTGACATCGGATGGCAGGACAATAGTATGCTACCACCCTTCTGTGGACATTCCATATGAACATACAAAACCTATCCCTCAGCCAGATCCTGTGCATAATAATGAAGAAACACATGACCAAGTGCTGAAAACCAGATTAGAAGAAAAAAATGAGCGATTTGAGCAAGGACCCATGATAGAACAACTTAGGAAAATGTTCTTTACTACTAAGCACCGTTGGTATCCTCGTGGACAGTATCATAGACGTCGTAGGAAACTGGATCCTCCAAAAGACAGATGATACTGAGGTTTTCAGGAATTAAAAAGATGTTATCTTGTATCTCATTTGCCATTTGAGAAAATGCAATTGAGTATATTTACTAATATGTTATATAGCAAAATAATAAAATGTCTTCATGTAAAAAAAAAAAAAAAGAGATAACCACATGTGGACACTTGATTTATGAGAAAGGTGGTATTATAGAATTGTGGGGGGGGAAAGGAGAATCTCTATAACCAATAATATTGGGACAATTAAATATTCATATAAAAAAGAAACTTAACTCCTACCTGACACCATAACCAGATATTAATTCCAGATTTGTTTTTAGTCATGAATGTGAAAAAAAAGTGAAAGAACTTCAAAAAGATATGTTAGGAGAATATTTCCACGATATTAGAGCAGGGAAAGACTTTTAAAATAGGACATAAAAATTGCAAACCATAAAGAAATCATAAAAGCACAAATCACATATTTGATTACATCGAAATTAGTAACTTCTGTTCGCCAAAAGACACCGTTAAGAGTGAAAGGGGAAGCCCAGAGCAGAAGAAAATATTTACAACACAAACAACAGCTAACAGGTTATCACAAACATGTAAATAATGTCTACAAATTAATAAGAAAAATGGATAATCCAATACAAAAATGAATGAGCAAATCACAAAAGAGGCTATTCAAATGGCCAGTAAACTCTTCAATGACATCCAGATTCCTGAAAAACAAACAAAAAGTGAAAGATAAACAAGACACAGAAAAGTGGACGCCATGTGGTTGATTGGCAGACAGGAAGTGCAGAGGGAAGGGAACAGGGTATGCAAGCCCTTAGGCTAAAAGACTTGGTGATAGTCAATAAACCAACACTAATTTTAACTGGGATTCTTGGGACCAGCCTCTGTCATCGGAAACTTAGCAGTTTTCTGTTGGTCTTTGGATTTTCAGTAAGTCTTTCCCTATCCCCATACACCAACTCTGCCCTCAGTCATAGAGCCCAGTTTTTCTCTGTTGGCTGCTAAATGTGATCATCCTGAAGGAGGCTTAAGGCTGTTTCTTTTTTCATTAGAAGTGTCTTTTGGGGCTGAGCAGAGATCTATAGTTGGTTTGTTAGGTGGCAGAAAGGGAGTGCGGAAAATGTAAATTGCAAATTGAATTTTTCTTGAAAGGACAGCTATTGGCTCACATTTTCAGATAATCGGTTATGATGCTGTCAAATAAAATCACTCACAACAGGGGCCATCGCTGATGACCTCACACACTCTTTTAACTCCTTAAAAACTCTTGCTTGTGGCTTCAGCTATATCTCCAGTGAGAAAAACTCGCAATAAGATTTGACCTGAAATCAAATGATTTGATGATGATATCTGTAGAATTTTAAGAGTAAACATGCAAGAAGAAAGCAATTAGAGTTATTTACTTAATCACTACTCTGAAAGTGAGCTCAATTCTTCATTTGCGGTGAAACTTTACTCAACAATAGATTTTACCCCAAATGTCCCCAAAAGCACTATCTGGGCATAACAAACTACCACACACCTACAAATATTTTCACTCCAACTGTAACTTTATATATAGGGCCTATTGATAAAGTGGAAGAATTATATTAAATACAAATGCTACCAGTCAGTCTTTGGAAGATTTAAATAATGTAGTGAAAGTTTCTATACATTTATATATTTCAAAATATCTTCTATAAAGTAAATCAGATTTTTTTTAATTTATAAAGACGAATTTTGAGTGTGGTTCAACCGTACTCTATTCTAGAAAATCAATTTTTATGCATTACCAATTATTCACGTTAATATATCACAATCTCTATAACTTTAGACACTGATTTATTCATCTTATTTGACAGTAAAAAACAGAGCAACCTAAAATAAAATCAGCATTGCCTTGGTGAAATGTTCTAGTAATCTCTCAAGTCTGAAAATGAATGCCACAGGAAAATGTCACAAACAATAAAAAGTTTGTTAGGGTAATGGAAGAAAATTTAAAGTACTTTCCTAAATGCTCAGAACTAGGCTATGCCCCTGCAACTGTCTTTGAGTGAAAAGTTTATGGGAGGTATTGAGTTACAAGTGTGTTTGAGTTAACACAACTGGAGAAAATGTAGAAAACTTTTTGCCACTAATTCCAGAGAATACTGTATATAGTTGTAAGTGTAAACCCTGATATGATAGTACTTTTTTTTCACATTTCGCTGACACAAAGTTGATAGCAACGTATATGTAATTCATAATAGTCCATTATCCAGAACGTGCACTGCAGAGAGACCTGTAGGATATTCCCTGGTGGGGCAGGCTTCCTGGGTGTGGGGCATGTGCAGTCACATAAGACCCCAAGCTTAGAAGGGCCTTGCACTAGGTGTAATATCCTGGTCACCTTCTTGAAATTATTAATAATTTTTAGACAAATGACCTGCAATTTCATTTTGTAGTGGGCCCCACATATTATGTAACTGATCCTCTTCTTTGGAGTGAAAACTGAATTGTGACTCAGGCCACACCTGATGTCCCCCATCCTTAAATATTAAGGAAAATAGTTTTGTCTTTGGTAAAGGGTATACAGAAATCAGTATTTCTTTGGTCTTTCAACCATCTTCCCATCCTTTCTCTCTCTTCATCCTTGGATCCTCTCTCCCTAACACTGACTGTTATCTACATAAATGTACATCTATTATTACTAGACTCTCTAGTCTATTCCATTGATCTATCCCTGTGCTATAACACAATGTTTTAACTACTACAGCTTTATGATCAATCTTGAATATGGTTATACAAGACCTCACCTTCTTCAGAAGTATCTTGGTTATTCTTGATCCTTCACTATTCCATTTACATTTTAAAACCAGCTTGTTATACTGTTGGGATTTCAGAAGAATTAAAATCATTTGACTGATTTGATGATTTTAGGAGAGATTAAAATCAGTCAAGGAGAGAAGCACACAGGGCAGAGTCTGGGAGATACCAAACATGGAACTTCTGTTACCCTCTTCCCATGGAGCCATGGATGCGTTTCTTCTCCAGTTTCAGTGTGTGACAATATGTACACAGTATTGTCAACCAGGGAAGCTCACCTGACCTGGCGTCCAGAGTTCTTACTGATTACATAGGCATGACTGATTGCCCACGTGGCTGATTTCTCTCTAGTCACCAGTTCTTCCAGGCATGCCCCAAAGTCTCCACCCTAAGTCACATTGTCGTTCTTTCTGATGTAGCCAGCCACCACCCTAAATCATATTGTTAGACTCTCCAGTTATCCAAAGCTCCAGGGCAAGCAGACACTCCTCTCAGGCGTGACCGTGCAAAGGCTGAGAGATCACTTCCCAGAAGCCAAGGACGAAGGCCAGACCTCTTTGGAGGGAAATTTTAAAATCTTTACTACATATGAACTGAATAATATAATTTTACCTTCTTTTTTTTTTTAAGATTTATTTATTTGAGAGAGAGAGAGAGCATGAGCAGGAGGGGCAGAGGGAGGACAGAGAATCTCAGACTCCACGCTAAGTCCTCAGCGTGGAGCCTGATGCAGGGCTTGATCTCATGACCCTGAGATCATGACCTGAGCCAAAACCAAGAGTCGGATGCGTAACCAACTGTACCGCCCCCATAATTTTACCTTTTAACCTTAAATCAGCTTTGTATTCCTAGAATGAATTCAACCTGATCATAAATTATTTGCTTTTTTATAGATTATGGAATATGGTTTTATAAGATTTTGTTTAGAATTTTTTACATCTATGTTCACGAATGAGATTACACTGTAAATTTTCTATTTATTATTGCTATAGGGGAGGCAGAACTTTACCTCTACCCCTTTAGGGTCTCTGGCTGGGTTGAAAATTATAATGACATGAGACAGATGGAAAAGGAAAAGCTGGAAAAACACACAAAGGTTTACATATACATGGGAGCCCCCACAGGAAAGTGAAGACCCAAAGAAGTGACTAGGCTTGAGTGCTTAGATACTAGGTTGAACAAGGAGTAGCCATTGTAGAAAAGTAACTGAAATATGTGGGGAAACTAAAGAAAAGATAAGAGTTATTTTAACAATGTGTGTGCAGATTTCTCTCTGCCTTGACTCATCTCTGATGATAGGAATGTTTCTTCCTTTTGGTACAGTGAGAGCACCTTTCACATGGGAATTTTTATCTCTTTCTTTTAGGAAGAAAAAGAAAGTTCAGAGTGTCCTTGCATTTGCTGTTTTTCAAGTGTCTTTAGCTCGGAATAATCCTTGAGCCAAAGTAGCATATTTTGGGGAGTCATATTCTGCCACCCTTCACTGTCCTTATCTAGTTTTGGTATCAAGAATATGCTAACATCATAAAATGAATTGGGGGATGTTCCCTCTTTTTTTAGAATCAAAAAGAGTTTTTACACAATTGGAATTATTTGATAAATATTTGGTAGAATTTGTCCTTCAATCCTTTTTAGAATATGTGAAGGTTTTTTTTGTAAACTAACAAATAAGCGTTGAATTTCAATTAATGTTTTTTTCTTACGTCTATTAAGATTAGCATATAATTTTTCTCTTTATAATGTGAATGTTGTAAATTGTAATGATAGGCTTCTGATGTTGAACACTTAATATATTTTGGTTTTGTATGTTGCTGGATTTGATTTGCAAATATTTTTCTAAAATAATGTTTGTAAGTAGAATTTTTATCTTGAATTAATCTTATGTTTTTATCATTATACTAAGTGTATAAAATAAATTAATTTCCCTCTTTTTCTATAAAAGTTTATATAAAATGGAGATGGTTTGTTCTTAAAGTTTTGGTACAATTCACTTATAAAACCTTCTGGACCTGATGTCTTTTGGGGAGAGAAAGGTTTGACCACTAATATATCATTAATGAGTGCTAGTATTTTTGCATTTTAAAAAATGTCTTTCTTTAAAAAAAATCACTCTTAAGTCATATACTGGTTATTTATAGTTTTCTTAAAATAACTATTTCATCCATGTTTTCAAAAATTATTATCATGACCTGCTTATTTTATTCTCTATAATCTAAAAATCCCTGGGGAGCCTGGCTGGCTCAGTCAGTGAAGCACGCAGCCCTTGATCTCAGGGTTGTGACTTCCCGCCCCACATTGCGTGTAGAGATTACTTAAAAATAAAATCTCTTCTAAGAAAAT